GGCAGAAGAGAGGCAGGTCGCGCCGAGACACCTGACATAAAGCAAATTAAACAGTAGTGAAAACCTGCACTACCTGTGAATCTACTGTGCAACTGTTGAGATTTCGGTAGAATACCTTGCTCTCATAAAGACAAGCTGTCACTGTGATACCACACCATGATGCTACAGCATTCTTAAATATATAAATAAAGAAAAATGTTGATCCCATCTCTCTGGTGACCTTTTTTGTAGAGGAACCTACTTAAACAGGTATTATGATGGTGAACACTGGTAGCCAGGCATAAGGATGTGATAAATGAAAGAAATCACTGTCAGGACTTTGACTACTACCACTACTACCACAAGTACCTCCAGAGCAGGAACCACGTCCACAGAGATCAGCTCCTCCGTGTCGTTCTCTGTTCTGAGCAGAGACAAAGTCACAGCTGGCGAGGTCGGATGCTTCCTGTTCACCTCCCAGCGACAGCGTTTATCAGGTACTGGAAACAAGAAAATGTGAATGCAGATGGGCTCTGTAAGTAGCTTCATCTGTGTTCCTCAAAGGGAGATGGAGGTCAAAACAGACAAGAGCACTCAGCGAAAAATAAGATGCACTCAAACACACACAGAAAAGCCTCTGTTTTATAAGGCTACTGACTATGGTACTACCTTATATCAACATTTCATATCAGTGTCAAATGAAAAAAAAACTCCATTATAAAATAAAAGTCTGCACTGAGAGATTACTTATACACATATAGTTGGTTGAAGTGGAGTTAGTTTAAATGTAACACACACCAGTAGCAACAACAGAAAGCAGAGGGAGAAACCAGCAAAGATCAGCAAAAACTAGAAGAAAAGAACAAAAAGATCAGAGGTGGATCAGAACACCTTTATAGCTCTTGAGGAATTTGCGAACCAGGCGGTACATCTCACTCAGGATCTTGCTTGATGAGACCGTGCGCTCGTCCTCCAGAAGAAAGGCCTCTATTGGGGTCCGAGTGGGCCGCATCAGCTCGATGTGGTAGAAGACTCCGCTGTCAAGCGCTGTCATTTTGAGAGGTGATGGAGCTTGAAGCTTCAGCATCATGTCAAACTCATCAGGGCTGTGGATCTGAAGCAGGAACACACAGATCCTTAAAAACACTGGGGTACTACCTTTAGAGGTTGTGAGTGGTCAGCGTGACCTCACCTTAACCTTCTCAAAGTAGCTGCCAGTGTTGAGGAAGTCAGCCGACTGGAAGAAGGGCTGATCCTTGTTGCTCCGCAGGAATTTCAGCAGGTTTTCACGGAAATCGTTGACCATCTCTGCAGCCCAGCAGCGGTCTTTCTGCCGAATCTTGAGGTTTTTAGCGTTGGCTTTGATCCAGCTGGCCAGCTCTGAAGAGACAGAGTTTGCGTCCTCGACTACCACAGCATCTGCACAGTGACACAGATGAGACTGCTGTAGCTACTACAGGACTGGTTATATATATAAGTGAGCAGAGGAGTCTATCGACACCTTCTCCAGCTCTCCAAAGCAAAGAGGAAGGTTTTCAGTAGCATTACCTGATTTTTGTTGCTGGAATTTCTGCCTTGGTCTTGCTGATGGAGGACCTGACTTTCGTCTTTTGTCATCTTTACGCCACGTCACTTCAGTCAGACCATCCTGTGTGAGGTTCAACTCTCTGCCCTCTGCGTCCATAGATCATTTGTCTCAGCCTCTAACAGATGTGCACAGAGATCACTGACAGTAACTGTGCTGCAGAACATTCA